CAAGCTGCCAGTTAGGATAAAAAAACATTGGTGGCTTTTGGACTCCACTAAATGGACAGGATGTTATTTAGTTGTTTCACAAAAAATAATTACTTGTGTAAAAAAACAAAAAACAAAGTGAAACATCTTAAAGACACTTTTTTATTACATATTCATCAGCGATTACAGCATTTATCAAAAAACAAACATAACAATGGTTGTAGTTTTCCCACAGTAAAAAGACCAAGTCGAAGAACACAGATTAAGGCATGAAAAACCTGCTTCTCCACCTCCCAGGAATCAAAGAGTGGTATAAAAATAAATCCCCTGGAATCCCAAGTTTTCCCATCGACTGGTTTCTGCTGGAAACCACAGGGATAAAAAAAACAGGAACCGAGACCGACGACAAGTTACATCACAACAAAATCACGTTACAAAACGTACCACAGAAAGCTGGAAATCACAATGAAAGGATTTTATTTTAGTGGACTGTCATCTTTATGTTAGTAGCTTAGCTTATTCAGATCAGCAGGTAACGCTGTTAAAGGACATCATGTATGCTCCTCTGGCACGAGGAGAACACTGAGCGGAAGTAACATCAGACCTTTGAAGTTTATCCTAAGCTATATCGAAACACCGTCGCTTAGATAGCCTCGTAATGCTGTTAGCTTAGACTCAACATCGAGATGGTCAACGTTAAAATACGGAAGATGCCGTCTGAGAACGAACACAATGTAAATACAGACTGATGTACGTTTCCTGTTCCTCCGTTTGAGGCAGTTTACAGACGTCTTCTGGTTCTTTATGTGGAAAGCAAACATTTTCTAGGGGTCACCATGACAACGATGCTACAAAGGGATGGAGGCATGAGATCAAATAGTCGTTTCTGAGCTACGTTAGGATGCCGACCACAACAAAACACTGAGAAACACTTTGTTTTTTACTGTTTTCCAAAACTAAAAACAAACATAAATAAACCAATAGACTGTTTTATACAATCTGTTAGTGAGGATGTTAAAGCTGCATAGTCACGTTAAATTTATACACCAGTAACTCACTCTGGTTGTACACAAATTATTTTTGAAAGATTACATATCATATTAGATACTGTTACAGAACCAACAGTGCTTTTTTTCTAACTTTAAATCATTAGAGGAATCTTAAACAGCATTGTATAAAATATTGATAACTTTGCTGAGAGATTTTATGCATTTTCTGACCTTATCATCAGATATGCTCAGAGCAGTCCAATGAAAGATGATTGCACCCTGTTTATCTGTTTATCTGTTTTTATTTTGATTTCTTTAGATTAAGCACTATATACTATATAGGTAGAATAAAATGCAACAAGAGCCAAAACTAAAACAATGAATAAATTCAAAGTGCTGGAAGTTGGGCAGGGATCGCATTTCAGGGATCAGCTGGCAGACTTGTCAAGTAACACCTCTGCCAGTAAATCTTTGAGATCCGGGTGGATAATAGTAAGTGGTCCTCCTAATCGCCAATCATTCTGGTGATATTCCAAAAAAAGTAACTTTGTTTTCCAAGTATGAAGATGTTTCGCTTCCCATCCACGAAGCTTTTTCAATTCATAATGTCTGGATTAGCATTGAGCTAAGCTACATAGAGTAGCCCAAACAAAGCCTTGTTTTGGCTTAGAAAACATGCGAATTGAACTGGAATTGATAGGATCTGGTTTATATGGGTTTTTTTCAGGCTCGTCTCCTGTGGAACCACCTACCAGTTTTAGTCCGTAAGACAGACATCCCGTCTGCTTTTAAGGCTAGGCTTAAAACTTTCCTTTTTGATAAAGCTTATAGTTAGAGTGGCTCAGGTTATCCTGAGCTATCTCTATAGATATGCTGCTATAGGCTTAGAATGGTGGAGGACATGGGGAGCATTTTCCATCATTCTGCTTGATTCTATCTCTATTCTCCCACTCTGCAGAATCTGTTAGTTCAATCTCTAACCTTCTGCTCTCTCTGCTTTTTCTCATAGTAGCTTCATCTGGTCTGTTTTTGTTTGGCTGTGACTCCATCCTGGAGAGAAATATCATCTGGTCTGCTGCCATCAACACCTTTAAATATAGATGATAGAGTTTGGCCTGTTTTTCAGTGTTTAGTCCTGTTTCTTTTACTGTGACTAACTGGATGTGCTCTCTTTCATCCCATTTACCATGAAAACTGGCTCAGAGCTCATCTGTTTAACTATTTCTTTCCCAAGCAGAGCCAGTTGTGGACTAGTTTAATTTTGCCTTTTCTAACCTAGAAAATATTTAATAGATCAATGCTTCAATTATCATTTTTGTATGTCTGTTTCTGTCTCCTTGAACCCCAGTCGGCCTCAGCAGATGGCTGCTTACTCTGAGACAACATGCAAATTCTAGGCCATAACAAGGCTTTTTTGGGCTACTTCATAAAGCTAGGAAATCAACGCTGATACAGTCATTTTGAATTGAAAAAGCTTCCTGGATGGGAAGTGAAATGTCTTCATACTTGGGAAAAAAAGTCCAGTGGATTGTTTTTATTTTCATTTTTTGAATGGCTATGACCTGTAATGAAATTGCCCACTGATTTAAACCCGTAAATATCAATTTATTTAACTGGACTGTATTGGTGAAAACCTTTTTCACAGACATTATAAAACCAAGAAACTTAAGTCTAAGGAAATTAACATCCAGAATTTGAGAAAATGTTTCCTTTAATAGGGTAGTGCAGTAACCAGTATACGGTTTAAATCTCTGCTGCTGCATTACTTTTACTTTTTTACTTTAAGTAGTTTTAAAAATGGTACTTTTACACTTTTACTAACTTTTATAAAAGTGTTTTTAAACAGTAGGATTTATACTTCTACTTGAGTAATAAACATAAATACTTTTCTGCCGACTGGGTGCAAAAGAGTGACATTACAGAAAGGATGTAAACACGTTGCATCTCCCAGCAAAGTAATGTAGTTTGGTAAAATTTTTATAAGTAGTGACAGAAATAAGCAAATTAGATCCCTTTTCATAAAGATGGCGACGCCATGTATTTCTGGTTGCAATCTGATGGTGCGGACTCTGCCGCAGGTACAGAACGGAAAGTGACAAGGCTCAAAAGAAACATGAAAACACTATCAGGATGGACGCTTGCTTATATAACAAGACAAATGTTTTTTGCTTGTTTTTTTTTTTTTATTATTGGCATATAACATGACTATACCCCTTTAAATCCTGGAAAACAGCAGTGACTGATTAACTTAAAGATTAAAATTGTAAACATTGAAAAATTGTAATGCATGGAGGGGTTTCAAAATAAAAACATTAATAAACCCCTAATTAATCCACAGGATTTAAAGTTATTGGGTTTTATGCAGGAAACTCCTAAAGCTGGACTTTGGTATCCAGTGTTTGGAGGGACGGCAGTTTAACATAGAACAGACCTTTAAAAGTCCAGTGAAACTTTTCCTCTTCAAGTGTTTTTCTCTATAACACTTCAGCTCAAGTATCGGTTCCCCACAGTCAGTTTATGTTTGACTTTTTCTATTTAAACACTGTAGGAGTCTAAAATTCAGCAACAATACAAGCAAATGTGGGCGGAGTCTGTTCTGCTACCAAAGTCGACCAATCAGAGCAGAGAAACTCTCCATCTCCCTAAGATTACATGTTTAAGAAATTTAATTTTGGTATTCATGCTGTATCCTTTACTTTACAAATCCAAAAATTCATATTCTTTATGTACATTTTTTAAATGTTTATCTTCTGTTTATCGCTGATAAACAGCAAAAAAAAATACATTTCTAACACTATAAGAGGTGTTTCTGCAGAATGGCAATAAACCTGATTCTGATTCTGAAGAGGATTAGAGCCACTGAAAAAAAAAAGTTAACTGAATTTTATTTCAGTTTAATATAGGAAAAAAGTAAGAATTGTGACTTTAATCTCAGAATTCTAACTCTAATCTAAGAATTCTGACATTTTTTCTCAGAATTCTGACTTTAATCTCAGTATTTTGGATCTTAATGTAGATGGGTACCATGAAGGAAGAGATGTGGAGCGCTCAGCCTCACTGACAAAGATGAGAGTTGTTTGGGAGAGCCAATAACACATTGGTAGAAAATGATGAAATTAGGTGACTTTTTTATGTGCCCGAGAGATCTCTGGTGATGCTATTTCAGTAATGGAAGAGCAGAAAGTGATTAAAACAAGAGAGCTAGTCTCCAAAACAGACATGGCTATGAATTGATGCTAACATGTTTGTTAGTTTTGAGATTAAAGTCAGAATTCTTTCAGGACTTCTGTCTGTGTGGTTTGTTTTTTGTGTGTTTGTCTTCCTTCCTCCACCAGGCGTCGCCTGGTCCTGATTCACCTCCTCACACACCTGCTAGGGTTACCTCATTAACGGAGGACTCTTAAGCTGCTGACTGCCACTACCTCGACGCCTGAGTGTTTGCCAGTTTTGGGTACACTAGCCAAGCTGAGTTTTGCTGACTCAAACTGAGGTTTTGTCAACCTGAGTTTTAATCTTGCTATTTTTTTGTCCTTGCCTCTCGGCAGGAAGTCATCCTGCAAACTGAACGTTTTGGCCCTTCTCCCCCTGGAAGTATCAACTGAGCCTCAAACTGAGCTGGGGATTCAAATTGGAGGTCTGGATCCACTTTCCTCCAAGGGATCATTTGAGTTTCACGCTGAGCAAGGGATTCATCTGCACCACAGTCCGTTCAAGTACTGCAGGAAATCTGAGTGGCAGTCAGCTTCTCCGTTCTCCTACAAACAACCGCATTCTGGGTAACCCCTGTCCGCCCTCCACCGAATGAGACAAACACTGGAACACCCCCACACCAACTGGAGTCTAAGAGTCAACCACTTTTCTGGAAACGTAACTCTGCAAACCATTTCTCCTCTTCAAGTTCGAGAATCAATTTTCCCACTGAACCTAAACTAACCGCAGTGTCTTCCCCTCACCTTTCAGTTCCGGTTGAGCAGTGTTCAAAGCAACACTGGAATCTCCACAAGCTTCTCAATAAAGCTGTTAAACTTTTTCCCTGGTCTCTCTGTTTTGGTTTCTCTGCATGTGGGTCTGAGCTCTTGATACTTTTATCCCATATTAAACTGAAAATAATATTTAAAAATCAGTAAACCTTTTCAGTGGCACTAATCCTCTTCCATATATTTCTTACCAAAGCTCTATTACGGATTTTTAAAAAGTTGGTTTGAACTGAGAAAGTTCTGGGTAACACAACCCTTGACCACCGAGTCCCAGAGCACAGTGGGGACGGCTGGGCTCTGAACACTTTCCAGTCTGCGAGGCAGGTAGTAGCTTTTCAATGGCACATATCGGGTTGTGGTTTTGTGATGGTATCCCAGAGACCTAACAGTCCATGTAACACTGAACATAAATGCAGTAAAACAAAACCCGCACTGAAATCAAATCAATGCTCTTAGTTTGGATTTTTCCTAATTGCTACGGAGCTTTGCTGGTTTAGAATGATTTCAGCAGCATTCATGCATGCTCATTAGGAGGGATTGCTGCAAGGACGTCGGCAGAATGCGACTGTGCTGTCGCTACACGTTCACCCAGGAGAAGGAGATCTGGGAAAGCCAATAACTTGGTGGTATCTGCTCTGATAAAAAACAAATTAATACTATATTTTTATCCGTCTGCTGGGTTATTTGATCGTTAGGCTCTAGAAAGTTCCTTAAAGATTTAAAAGAATCGCCTAAATTAGATTAGGAGTAACCAGAGATTCAGTTTGAGTTTAGAGCCATCTAGTGGTATAACTGCAAATTGCATTCAACAGGATCTCACCTTTCCTGTCAAAATGAGTTAAAAAATGTCAAGAAGGATCTGTACCCTCACATGGCAGTTAAACATCGTTATAATAATCACGGTGTTTTATTTATCCACATCTAAATAGAAATTCATTTGCAGCTGCATTTATTTTATAAAAATCTGAAAATGAAATGTTTAATATTTCTGATGTTTTTTTTTTGTTTTGTTTGTCTGTTGCGGGTAAAACAAAGCAAAAGCTACACTGACCTGATGTGTGGCCAAACACGAATCAGCCTGAGAAGGTTCCCGACTGAAAGGAGAAATGTTCGCTTTCGTTGAGCAAACTGGAACAAACTGGTGAAAACAGGGAGAATCAGCAGCGTCCTCCTGGAATGTGAGAAGTTTTAAGTCACAGAGGAGGGGGGGCTTAAGAAAGGCTGGAGGTGTGCCGACCAATGAGGTTTGAGATGACACCAAACTTCCTGAATTAAAATGATAAACCTCTGGCTTTGTTTAATGGGACTTGGTTGTGCTTTTAAATGAATCAGTTCAGCCCACTACATCCAAGAGAAAGCTTGAAACTTAAACTCATCCTTCTAATCTTGTATTTAATCTTAAGTAGTGATGATTAACCCATTTCCAATCAAGTCGGCAACTGGAGGAAGGAGATCCACATTACAGCGACAACGGGAATCTGTAATTTGTTACGGTGATCGGAATGTGGCGCCCTCTGCTGCCTCCCTGAGGGTTTCCCTGATTAATCCGTTAATTGATTTAAAGGACACTGTGAGGCTGCTGATGTAGAGACTATAAAGTCCCTCTGGCAACAAATTAAATCAACAGATGTGGACGGACCTTAAAAGACTCCTGGAGCAGAAAGTTTTAAAGGACTGTTGGATGAAAATGAATTAAGATTGTTTCATAAATCTGTTGCTACCCAGAGTCAGAGAGACTGCTCTGAATGGTGTGTATGGCTGCTACCTTGGCTTGGGTGTGTGAATCAAGTGTGTGTGTGTGTAGAGGGTCTCTACGGCGACGTCTTCCTGCTTTCTCTCAGGATGCCGTCCAGTCCATTTAGCTGGCGCAGGAAGCCTCGGTTAGGGATGACCCCTCGGTGATCTTTGACTGTCCTGATGGCCTCCACCAGCGTCAGGTTCTGTCGGATCATCAGGTAGGCCAGCACCAGTGTGGCCGAGCGGCTGACCCCCACCGTGCAGTGGACCAACACCTTACCTACACATGCATGACATAAAAGACATGTAAGTTTGACGATAAAAAAAAAAAATAAGAACATCCTTGGTAGGTTATTCTGTTTTCAAAATGATGGAAGTAGATCTTAGAAGAAAAATTTTCAGCTCTGAATATCTGAAATAGAAATATACTTTTTTCATGTATTTATCTTTATTAAAATTCAGGGTTAATATTTTCTTTCTCAAAAAACACACAATTCTGATTGGATCTGATTGATATGTTTCAGTTATCAGGCTCCTCTCCTGTGGAACGTACTACTAGTTTTAGTCTGTGAGGCAGACACCCTGTCTACTTTTAAGGCTAGGCTTAAAACTTTCCTTTTTGATAAAGCTTATAGTTAGAGTGGCTCAGGTTATCCTGAGCTATCTCTATAGTTATGCTGCTATAGGCTTAGACTGCTGAAGGACATAGAGACCCCTATTTCATCATTCCGCTTCCCTCTATCTCTATTCTCCCACTGCAGAATTTGGTAGTTCAATCTCTAACACTATGCCTTTTCTCATCATAATAGCTTCATCTGGTCTTTTCCTGTTTGCCAGTGACACCATCCTGGAGAGAAATATCAGCTTTGCTGCTGGTTGAATTGTCTCTGGAAAGTGCTTAGAGATTACATGTGTTGTGAATGGGAGTTATCTAAAGAAAGAGAACTGAATTTGCCACATTTAAACCTCAAACTTCAATCTATTTCATTGGGATTGTCACAGAAAAAACACCAAATCATTCATATCTGTGAATATTGAAGAAAAACGCTATATATCCAGACTTTTTAATGCAAGTTGAAATGTGTATTTTTATTCAGCTGTCATAAAAAGTCAAGACAACTACCAACCCACAGAAGGAACCTTATTATTATCGATCAGAGAACACCTGAGAACACCCTCAGAGGTTTATTAGAGAACATTAATGAATACGGGCCTCATGATGACATCATTTGATGCAGGATGTTGAGTAAAAAATTTTGAGAAATGTCCGTTCTCAGGCTCACAGGCGCCAAACGAAGGTCATGAGAGTTAAGAATGAGTTCCCACAGCCTTCTTTATGGCATGAAGGGGAGGACTGTTGTTTTGAGGAGATCTATTTGGCCAGTGGAAGATATATTAAAGGAATAGTACACCCAAAACATGATTAGCCTTCATTTTCTACTCACCCCCATGCTGAACAACACTCTGGAGTACTTTTTTGATATCTCAAATGCATCTGGAGATCTGGGAGGCTTCTTGCTGTCTGCTGACATTCAAATAATGGAGGTCTATGGTGACCGAGACAGAAAGGTCCATAAAAGTCCACAAAAAACGTCTCAGTATTCCTCCATACTGCTCGTCCAATGTATTCCAAGTGTCCTGAGTGGGTAGCGTCCATAATTTACTCGAAACGAAGTCATTTAGAATGTTTTTAGAGCATAAACAGTAGTGTATAGGATTTCCTGAAAGCGAGTTCACGAGTCTACGGAAACCGCGGCAGACCAAACCAGATGAAAGTGCGCATTCAGCTCAGCAAAGAACTCATGCTCTTCCTCAACACTGAAGTCCTCAGACATTTTTCTTTCGTTGTTTCTTTCTTTGCACAGGTAAACAGCACATTTCTTCTTCTACGCTTGCATTATCGGCAGAGCAGACGCTGAATGCGCACTTTCATCTGGTTTGGTCTGCCGCGGTTTCCGTAGACTCGTGAACGCGCTTTTAGGAAATCCTATACACTACTGTTTATGCTCTAAAAACATTCTAAATGACTTCGTTTCGAGTAAATTCTGGATGCTACCCACTCAGGACACTTGGAATACATTGGACGAGCAGTATGGAGGAATATTGACACGTTTTTTGTGGGCTTTTATGGACCTTTCTGCCTCGGGCACCATAGACCTCCATTATTTGAATGTCAGCAGACAGCAAGAAGCCTCCCAGATCTCCAGATGCATTTGAGATATCAAAAAAGTACTCCAGAGTGTTGTTCAGCATGGGGGTGAGTAGAAAATGAAGGCTAATCATGTTTTGGGTGTACTATTCCTTTAACCTAACAGCAAACAGCCTTGATGAACTCAAGTTGTTTTTCCTCGAAATGTTCAAGTGTGAGAAAGTTCTTTATGTAGGGGGTGGGTTGGTTCCCCTGGGGGAGAGCGTGAGTTGGGGTTTTTGTAAGGTATAAATGTATGTACTGACGTTGCCTCAGTCTGAGCTATATTTCTCCCCCTGAGGATGTTAAATAAATTTTAACATTCTCTTGCAAGAAATGCCTCTATCAGTTTCTCCACAACTTCACAAGGTTTATATAATAAAACAATATATAAAGATCTGACAGACTGAGTGAAGAGAGCATTAATCAGAGAAGAAGCCATGAGACCAACAGTGAACTATTTGGGCTGCGTGGAAAGGAAAACTAATGCTGCGCATCAGGCTGAACACATAGAACACGGTAGGACTGGCATCATGCTGTGGGAATCAGTGATGTTGGATATAGGCTGAAAAGCAGCTCCATCTCCCAGCAGGCTGTTTTTTTAGTACTCCTTTAACATTAACATTATTACCATCAGTCACTTTGATAAACACAATAATTACCAATCAATGAATAAAATCATCATTTATTTTCACTTTGCTTCTCCAATAAAAGACGAATTCATCTTCAGACTTTTACAGATTTTAACGAAACGTGGAGAAGAAAAGAGAAATTCTGGCTTTGAATTTCTGACGGTTGATTGATTTTAAAACTGTCCATAAAATCAGATGCACAGACGTCTGAATTTGTAAATCAATGTTAATCATTTTGATGAATTTAGGGTTTGTTTTTGCTATTTCTTATTGTCAGCTCACAGATACATGCTACATCAGATCGTCATCCATGGGAGATAGAAGTTTAGAAATTAGTAATACAGGTTGGAAAGTTACAGCGTTGGACCAAGAAATAAAAATCACAAATTTACAAGCATGACATGGAAATCTATCAGTGTGTACTTCTAAATTTGTTATTTTTACTTGTAAATTTATGATTCTGACTGTTGAATTTGGGGTTTGTATTTATAAATTTGTGATTCTTTTTCCCAAATTTGTCATTCAAGTTTGTAAGTTTGTGATCTGTACTTGTGAATAAAAGATTTTTATTTGTAATTTTGAGATTTGGACTTGTAAATTTGTGATACATAGTCATAAATTTGTGATATATATATTTCAATCTGAAAAACTCAAACAGAAAGAAAAGATCATTAGAAGAATTTTATTGATAAGAAAGTAAAGCCTTTGGCGCTCAGACCTCGGCAGGAACATTAATGCTGAATTATGCTTTAACATGCATGAGTAGATGAATGAGAATAGGGATGTTCCCCCTGGCCTGAAACTGGTGGTGGTTTAGTCCAAGCTGGTTAACGAGGTGATCTGCTTGAGCTGTATTGTGGGACCAGAAGACTGAGGGAGCTGACACCGGGGCTTCACTCAGAGACTCAGGATATAGAGGTCCTGCTTGGTGATGCAGTACCATGAACTGTCCATGATGAGCAAGCATGAAGCGACAGTGGAGAGGAAAAACTCCCCTTTGGGAAGAAGCCTCTGGCAGAACCGGGCTCAACATGGTGGTCTTCTGCCGGACCAATGCCATGAGACGAGGGATGGTGACGACTGGGATTAATACTCTCTGATGAGGTTGGGGTAGAAGTCATGTCATGGAAGACGACTCAGCTACAATGGCGGAGAAGGGGATGGAGATGGGTGAATTGTTGTCTGAATCAAAATCTGACATCGTGCGCTTGCTGAATAGCGGGCTGAGACGAGGATTTGAAGGTGCTTTTAAAGTGAAAGCAGGATGCTGATTGGGCTTCGTGGTGGAGTAGTTCGAAGCTGATTGGCTCGCGTCAGAGACGGATCAGCTTCTGATTGGATGGAGGTAAGCCAGAGTTTCTTCAATTGAACTTCCGCTAGAGCTTCATATTTATATATATTATATATATATACTTGTTGTGGTTTGTAGTTGTAATTTATACTCTATATATTCTGTTATTTATACTTGTAAATTTGGAATTTCTACTTGAATATTAATGATTCATATTTGTAAATTTTCGTGATCTTGGTGACTATCTTGATTGTTCATTCCATTCACTTGTCCAGCTCCGCCTAGTTTCTCATCACCATTCATCTGATCCACCAGCCTCTATTTAACCTGCCTTCTCCCAGTAATCAGTGCCAGATTATCCCAGCCTTTGGTGAGAGTTGTCTAGAATACCCGTGTGTTCTGATCCTGACCCGTTCTGCCTCTGAGCCTGCCTGTTCCTATTCTGATCTGTTCTGATCTTCGGACTCGTGTTGGATTCTGCCTGTTGACTGAACTTGGATCTGCTTACTGACACCAACCTAGATTTCCCTTCGGTACCACTTCGGATCTTCTGGCCTGGACTCCTGTGAACCTCCTCGATACCGGCTTTGGCTTCGCCTTTTGGATTATCCTGCCTTCTGTGAGAGCATATTTTTCCTTAGCCTATTTGTGAGATAAAATGTTTTGAGTGTGCCTTTTCTCTGCCTAAATAGGGGTGATTGTTTAGAAGCCTTGTTCCATTCTTTATGCTGGAATGTAAGAAGTTGAAGCAGGGTGAAATATAGATAAATATGTCCTTTTTATGTTCAAGTTTCTCACATCCTTCTTCATGTCCTGAGCAGAAGACAGTTGATGTCATGAACGGAAAACAGTGGTTCTGAAATGTTTATCTGGCTAAATTTATGTCTTTGATGAATTTAAGTTGTTTTCCTTCTTTTGTTCAAGTGTGTGAGAAAGCTCTTTTGTACAGGGGGTGGGTTTAGTTTCATGGGAGATAGAGAGTGTGCTGAGATTCTGAAAAGTATAAATGTATGTGCTTAGGATGGTTAAGTCAGAGCTTTTATATACTCTCTGTCTCATCTAAGGACGTTAAATAAATTTGAATATTATGTCTTGCAAAAAATGCTTCAGACTCAGTTTCCTAACTTCACATTTCCTTCCTTCCTCTGCTTGGATCTGATCTCCTGCCAGTTCTGTTGTCTTCAAGGCTTCATTGTCTGGGTCTCTCTTGGCAGGGGCCAGCTGTCCGCTTCCTCTAGGCCCGGACTGAACTTTAAGACCAGGTTAGTGACTCGCGTTCGTAATCTGTAATCTAATTGAACCGTAAAGTGCCTTAAGATTTCATGTGTTTTGAATTTCCGATATATAAATAAACTGAATTGAATCCTCTGTCAGATTAACGTGGTCACTAACCTGACTTTTCCCCCTGCAGAGGTTCCTGCCTTTAACATCCTTGTAGTTGCTGCAGATCAACCGTTTTTTAATAACCGCCTATTTGAGAGATCTGTCTGCCGTAATTACTGTGTCCTCTGTTCTGAGCCTGGACATAAATTTGTTAGGTTGTAACTTTTTAACTTTAACTTCTAAACTTGTATCCTGACAGATTAAAATCTATGTATCTATGAGCTGAAAACAAGGAACAAATCCAAACCCTACATTGTAAATAAAAGCCAATAAAATTAATACGTTTAAGATTTAAGGAACATATATGAATCTTAAATGTGTTTTTCTTATTGACCTTCATTCATAAAATCAGACATCTACACATTTCTTTTTATGGACAGTATCTTACCCCATACTCAGCCTTTAAAACTTGTCTTTTTCTGCTTTGCGGTTTGGGCTCCATTACTTTTCTCTGTAGAGTTTTTTTAATCACTGGTATGAATCCTCGTTGATAAAAACATACATCATTAGTTGACCGATCATTTCTGAGTGACGTCCAGCTACTTGCTTGCTCACATATTCACAGATTTACCTCCAGCAGAGAGCGCCTTGTGGATGAACTCGGCTGCCGGGTAAAAGTTGACGCTCATGTCAAAAGTCGGTGAGTCATGAGCCTCGATGCCGTGGTAGGTGATGTTCATCCCGGCGTAATACTCGGCTCCACCGCGCCACTTGCTCTGTGCGCAGTTTAGAATGTGCGTGATACCGAGTCTGGCCAGCTCACGGCGGTCTGAGGCAATGTTTCTGAGGGGAAGAGAGTTAGAGCAGCGTGACTGGATGGGACGCTTCTCAGACAGGGTACTGCATTCTGTAGTATATATATGTATTTATATGTATTATCTCTGTCAACACAGAGACAAACAAGACAATCCATTTACCATAACAGTCATGTTTTTAGACTGTGGGAGGAAGCCGGAGTACCCAGAAAGAACCCACGCATGCTCAGGGAGAACATGCAAACTCCATGTAGAAAAACCCCGGGTCGGGTATTGAACCAAGAATCAGCACTGCGCCACTGTGCAGCCTAACCCCCCCCCCAAAAAAAAATTATGAAAGTTTTAAAACTGCTAAAAGATGCACTCAAAAGTATCATTTTTATTCTAATTTTAGTGTAAAATTTCTAAAAAAAGAAAATGATCAGAACGTGAAACGTTCTGATAATAAAAGTTATAAAGTACATGTTTCACGTGTACTTTATAACTTATAACTTTTTATTAACTTTTATTATTTTATAAGAATTTATTAAAGTTTTTACAACTTTAAAAAAAAAACAGATTATTTTTATGCTGGCCCTGAGAACTTATTTTTCATTAATTTATACGTTTAATCACAATATAATATGTATTTTTTATGTGGCTGCTTCAAGCTGCTCATGAGAATGATCCAAATTTATAGATGTCTTTTAATGATGTAATTTAATCTGACTATAAAAATCTAACTAAACCTTTTATTTTATAATTATAAAATAAATAGATTTTAATACAGGCTGCTGGTGGCTACCCAATGCACCTCAGCTGTCCAGGATACAGTCTAAATAACTGGAAACCATTGCATTTTATAGAGATCATTATTTAGAAAAAGAATCATGTTTTTTTTTTATTTCTATATATCATTTCTATATATAGAGAGAAAATAGTAAAAAGAGGGAAATTCACACAGACTCTGTAGCGATGCAAGCTGGCCTGTCCCTGAACACAATGTTGCTCACCTGTCACTGGGACAGGGATGGTGGGCTGAAGAAACGGGGCTACTGGTGGATCATCTGTTTATATGATGAAGGTGGGACAAAGACAATTATTTGACGTAAATATCCTGTTAAACATCTAGCATTTAGCTGATGTTAACCCTCTGATAACTGTGGTGTTTTCCTGTTGCCTGGTCTGGTTGGTAAATGTAAATTCTCAGCCCTGTGAGCTTTCTGGCTTAGCTGTTTGCCCTCTGTGTTACTTACAGACACATAGTAGGCTCAATAAATGCAGGATTAAACCTGGTTTAATTCTTCTTGAAAAGTGCAAATGAAACACAACAAAATAATAATAAAAAACTTGCAATCCTGTTTTAGACAGCTCGTTTCAGACAGCACCCAGCTGGTCGGCATTGTGCCTTTCCCCTCCAACCTTGAGGAGGATTCACTAAGTAGTTACATGTAGCAGATAGCTTTGTTATTTTATTTGACAGGTTAATAATCTATCGTTAATTTGAACTAATCAGGTAACAAACCTTTCTTTAAAAACTGGGTCACGTATTGGCAGAGGCATAGCTTGAAAATGTTAATAGTGGTGGCCAGGCAGTAACCAATATACACAGAGGGGGGGGCTGAAAGTGGACAGGCACCAGAACCTCAGGGTCAATCTACACTTGTTAGGGTTTCTGTTTCCCTGTTGGTCTGGAGGGCCTTTTCCTGGTTACCACCCAACCCTGCAGCTCGTTTGGTCATTACCAGAGGAGTATATGAGCAGCCGACTGTCACCACCTTCAAGCCTTGGAAGGAATCTATGCGTCTCTCTGAGACTAAGGATAACATCCACCAATTCAGTTTGCAGTCCACTTTAGGAAAACTCGTTGACAGTCCGCTCCGCTGCTCCTATGGACCTCTACAAGTCTGCCTGTCCGCCCTCCAGCAAGCTATCTCCTTATCTGATTCATCCCAAAAACAGGAGCCAATGAGCTACCACAAGTCATCTACCGTGAGTCCTTCCTGGCTATGTTTTCAGTATCAACCTGTAAATCCCACGGACCTTGAACTCATCACTCTGATTTCTCTCTAGAGCTTCCGGTTCCGGTTCCCCAAACCTAGAATCCTTGGTTTATGTCCCTCTCAGTGTCATTATCTCAATAAACTGTTGAACTTTTCCCCTGCCTCTGAGTTGTATCTGCATGTGGGGAAAATATTTGAAACCCATCATGACAACACTGTTCCAACAGCAACAAGCACAACATCCATATTTTTTTAAAAAAAAAGACTAATTATACTTTCCTACAGCCTTTGCTAACAAATATAGTTAAACATATATTTAAACATCCATGCTGTCTAAATTAAAGATGTAGTGGACGAAATTCTTTCTAGTTTGAGATGTGGGGAGAACATCTTGATCATTGCAACTACTTACATACTTTTATCAGTAATCATTCTGCATAAAATGTATATTTAAATCTACTAATATCTACATTCAATTCATTATTATTATCAAAGTAGTTATTGATGTCTGATTTCACTGAAGACTCCTAGATGACTTGCAAAGACATCATTTTCTCTTCAATCTAGTTCTGGAAAGAGCATCAATTCTATCTTTTCATGTAAGTATATTGATGTGCATAATAACCACAGTGTTTTTGTTGTAAAGTAATTACTATTATATAAAAAATGTTAAATGAAATGTTAAATAAGTTGAAACAATTCACTTTGGAGTATTAAGGCCAATTTATGCTTCTGACGCATAGCCTCTGCAACCGTAAGATCTGTCTCTGTCTCAAAAAAGTCCTGACTCTGCGCTGTGATTGGTCCTTGTTATGCCTTTCCAGCTGTCTGTGTGGTCGTCCTTCTCGATTCAGTAACAGGGCGCGCCATTTTTAAAAACTAAGGAACAACTACAATGGACAATTACGACGAAAGGTTAATCAGTCTTTTTGCCAACTCCGTTAACAGAACCTGTTCCTCTTCGATGTCTAGCAACTCTAGATCTATCTCTGTGACCATGATATCTTACACTTTTTTTTGGAAGATAAACACTCCTGCTGCCGCCGCCGAAGTTCTAGTAACCATTGGCCAAAGTTCTCGCCATTCCTCGAATAGGCTCCGCCTTGCGCTTTGGCGGGAAACTGCTGCGCTTCTCTAGAAATTCCAGACCGACGGTGCAGAAGCATACCAGATAAACTGGTTTGCGACCGGACCCAAGAGACATTTGATGTGTGCGGTTGCAAAAGTCTAATCCGCCCTTTACTGGTGCCACAGTCTGAATTAGAGGGGAAAAAATGGTAGGGGTGGTCACAAGGGTTCCCAATAACTGGCCACCCCTGGCCCCGCATCTAGCTCCGCCCCTGCGTATTGGACACCTTCTCCCTCTCTCCTCTTTCTCCTTTCTTTGTCTTCCCTTTTGAAAATCAGACTTTGGGGCATTTTTCAGCAGCGGATGTTTTTTTCTGCATTGCTGTTTATTTAAACATTTTCTTCTTAATTTGTTTCATTTTTTTATCAATATCTCAGATGATGCACACGTTGCATTTAAGCCCCAGTACGAGCAAACTCCTGGGACCTATGGACCAAACAATTATCTTTGTTAGAACACAACAATAATTAATTTCACTGCAAGATTCTTTTTATATTTACAAAATATAGTGGGAAGATTATTTTCCTCTTTTTGGGCCCCCCTCAGTCAAGGGCCCTAAGAATATTCCTAACCACCCCCATATGGCGCCCCTGATTATGTCTTTGGTACAGGGGCCATAACAGGGGCCAAGACATGATGTACAGGGGCACTGGCCCCCGTTGGCCCCTGTCTAGAGCCGCCCATGTCTCTGCCGCACCAACTCACTGGTCTCCGATGTAGAGTCTGGGCCAGACTTCGTCCGCGTGGTTGCAGGCCGTCTTCCCGGTGTAGAGCAGCCTCTCCAGCTCAGACACCGTCAGGGTTTGGGAGTCACGGTCTGTATCCTTTCTGCTCGGAGACCTGGAGCTGCTCCGGGAGCGGGAGAACCGCGACATGAACGCCATTTATTCTGAGCAGGAGGCAGAAAATGGAATTTTATATATAAAATATATATACAGCAGATATAACCTGTAGCTACACCGAAGAGAAAACTTACTTTGTTTTTTCCACCTCATATATATAATTTAAATGTCTCCAGAAATAAAAGAGTTTCTGATCATTTTACCTCAGGAGGTTTGTTTTTCTTTTCTTCTGCAGCTCAGAGCAGGTCGAGCTCCTCCGCGGCCATGTTGACTCATGTAGTTGATGTGGGAGGAAGGATGAGGATGATGATGCTGAGGATGAGAGCCTCCAGCTGCTTCAGCATCCAGCGAATATCTCCACAGACCGCCGCCGCATCTCCATCTCCGCAACAAGTCCTCTTTAGAACCGTGGCGACAGCAGCTTCAACAACAGGAATGTTTATTAAAACAAGGCAGAAGTCTTCATCGGTTCTCTGCTGTCTCGCCTTTCCGTCTTTTCCCCCCCTTGAAATCAATGGAGGCTATTTATGCAGTTATTTTCCCCTGTATGCATGTGGTGCATGTTTTGGTATTTCTGTCGCCATCTAGTGGCTAAATGATAGAACTTCATAGATAAACAAATCCTGCGATATTCTGGATGTTTCGATCACATCACTAGGATTTTTTTGTGTGTTACTTTACTGTGTGTAGTTTGTACGGAAGAGGATGAGGGCCACTGAAAAAATAAAAAAGTTAACTGATTTTTACATTTTATGTCAGTATAATGTGAGAAAAAAGTCAGAATTCTGACTTTAATCTCAGAATTCATTTTTTTTCTCAATTTTCTGACTTTAATCTCAAAATATTAACTCTAATCTCAGAATTCTGACTTTTTTCTCACAATTTCTGACTTTAATCTCAAAATATTAACTCTAATCTCAGAATTCTGACTTTTTTCTCATAATTTCTGACTTTAATCTCAAAATATTAACTCTAATCTCAGAATTCTGACTTTTTTCTCATAATTTTTGACTTTAATCTCAGAATTCTGACAGCTAAAAAACATGTTAACATCAAGCCATAGCCATGTCTGTTGTAGAGACGAGCTCTCTTGTTTTTATCACCTTCTGCTCTTCCATTAATGAACTAGCATCACCTGGTACTGAGATTAAAGTCAGAATTCTGACTTTTTTCCCATATTAAAATGAAATAATAGTCATTCAGTTCACTTGTTTTATTTTTTCAGTGTCCCTAATTCTCTTCAATAATTGAGTTTGTGTAGTTTGTTTTGTTTCTTTTAAGTATGACAATATTGCTTTTTAATCTTTTTCATCTTGACCCTGCAGGTCATTCATCCCTGCTGCAACTAGACTCTACACTGTGACACTGCAACAGCAATAACTTGTGTAATGTATAATCTGCAATTTACCATTTGATACCCTGTGCAATAACTGTTTCCCTATATTTGACACACAGTGCAATAACAATAAAAAATATAATATAAAATATAAATATCCATCCATATAAATACCGGTGCAAACACCCTGACCAATAACCCGGTAAAATTATCCTACTATTTAAAAAAAACCTGTCATGTGGGGACGCACTGTATTTGCTGTATATATCCCATGTATCTTCTTCTTTTTTTTGCACAATCTTCTTCTGATGTAACGAGTACATTTCTCCACTGTAGGATCAATAAACTCAATCAATCAATTGTTTTTATCAGTACAGTTTCCCTGACTGTTTTGAAAAGCGCTTGAAATAAAATGTATTATTATTATATTGAGCAGAGCAGTTGGACTAGTTGCAAACACAAGTTTTAACATCTGTTTCGGTATAATTTACCTTTTCAATTCTGTTGTATCATTTTACAGCAGATTCAACGTCTAAGTTTAACATTACTGCAAAAATATCACAAAGGTTTTTTTTTTTTATTAAGCTTCGGAGAAACAAAAAAATACTCACAAACTTAAACCGCTCCAAGTAGAAATATCACTAAGTAGGCACGATGTATAACAAGATTTAAAATATAATTGCTGTTCATTTTGGGTCAATATCACCATAAAGCAATGATTCCAAAAATTGGGGTCAGGACCCCTGGGGGGTGATGAGACACCAAGTCGGGGGTCACAACATGCTTAACCCAATCATTATGATCTGTGGTATATGGAGACTCAAAATACATCATGAAATATGGAAATGGATTCTGAACCGGGTTTAGGCTGCTTTGATCCAGTTGAACTTTAGCAAAACTATTGTCTTCATCTAAGCCTTCAACTTGTATGTTAGATCCAGTTCCAACCAGGTTATTTAAGGAGGTATTCCCTTTGATCTCCTCCTCCATTTTAGATGTGATTAATCTATCTCTGTTACAGGGATATGTACCTAAAGCTTTTAAGGTTGCTGTAATTAAACCTCTGCTTAAGAAACCGTCTCATGACACAGACAACTTATCTAAAAAGTCTTGAAGAGTAGTTGCCAAACAAGTGTGCGATCACTTACACCATAATGAACTTTTTGAAGAGTTTCAGTCTGGCTTTAGAGCTCATCATAGCACTGAAACAGCTCTGGTGAAAGTCACTAATGATATTCTCATGGCCTCAGATAATGGACTTGTATCTGTGCTCGTCCTGTTGGATCTTAGTGCTGCATTTGATACAGTTGACCATAATATTCTTTTAGAAAGACTTGAATATTTTGTTGGAATTAAAGGAACAGCACTAGACTGGTTTAAATCTTATCTATCTGATCGAATTCAGTTTGTTCATGTTAATGATAGATCTTCAACACGCTCAAAGGTTACCTGTGGAGTACCACAGGGATCAGTGCTAGGACCAATTCTCTTTACTTTATACATGCTCCCAATCGGTAGAATTATTAGACAGCATGGGATTAATTTCCACTATTATGCTGATGATACCCAGCTATATCTGTCTATAAATCCAGATGAAGCTAACCCATTACATAGATTACAGGCATGTCTGAAGACATAAAAACCTTGATGACTCTTAACTTTCTGTTCCTAAATGCAAACAAAACAGAAGTTATAGTCTTTGGACCAGAGTCTTTGAAAAATAAGCTGATTAGTCAGTCACTTCATTTGGATGGGATTAAACTGATTTCAGATAATAAAGTAAAAAATCTTGGTGTTATTTTCGATCAGGACCTGTCATTTAAATCCCAGATCAAAGAGGTTTCTAGAATTTCCTTCTTTCATCTGAGGAATATTGCAAAAATTAGAAATATCCTGTCCGGGGGTGATGCTGAGAAACTAGTCCATGCATTTGTTACTTCAAGGCTGGACTATTGTAATTCTTTACTATCAGGAAGTCCACAAACTGTAGTTAAAAGCCTTCAGCTGATCCAAAATGCTGCAGCTAGAGTTTTGATGAAAATTAAAAAGAGAGATCATATCTCTCCTATCCTGGCTTCTCTTCATTGGCTTCCTGTTAAATCCAGAATAGAATTTGAAATCCTCCTTCTCACATATAAAGGCTTAAATGGCCAAGCTCCATCTGATATCAGAGATCTGATTGTTCCTTATGTTCCTAACAGAGCACTTCGCTCTCAATCTGCAGGTTTACTAGTGGTTCCTAGAATTTCTAAATTAGAATCAGAAATACTTTAATAGTTCCAGAGGGAAATTACTTTTGTTACACACTCCACATACAGTTATATATATATATATATATATATATATATATATATATATATATATATATATATATATATATATATATATATATATATATATATATATATATATGTATCCTCAGTACCCTTGGTTTACCCAGGATTCATAGCGAGACCAAGCAAGCCGGTTGCTCTTTGATCAGAGGAAAGGTTACTTGGCGCTGAACAGTGGTGACTATTGGAAGTTCAGTTTAATATAATAAAAGTCTGTGAATAGTTCCATCTGAAATGAAAGAAAATAGTTGTTTTAATGGTTATTGAGTCAGATATGGGGCGGTAATGTTTGATTTTTCTAAAGGTTTTAATCTGTTACTGTGTAAATGGGTTTGGCTCTAATTTAAGGACGGATTCTAATAGATCTGCAGAGTGGGAACTATAAATCTGATAGGAGTTTAATTTTTTTTATTGCTGTTTTGAAAATATGCTTAACTAAGTATTTTTTGTTGTTGACTATTAGAGATTTTGCAGATATATTTTTATACATACATTGTTTAGATTTACTTATACATTTCTACCCCTTTTATAGAATAGAAAATCCCTTTATTGTCCCACAATGTGCAAATTTACAGCAGCAGAAAGATTATTGAAAATGGTCACACAAATGTGGACCTTAGAAAAATGTATAAGAATAACATAATAGGGAAGAGTTAAAATATAAACAATAAAATCCTGTAAAGTGTTTTAACAATATAAAACTGGAGAATAATTAACCAATATCCAGCTATGGAAATTTTTACAGTAATGGGTATTTGAAAATAGCAGCAACATGAGAGATGTGCAAAATGACAGCAGCAGGTTATTTAACTGACTAAGGTTTCTATCATTACATTTGATTTTATTTGTTCCTGCTCCCGGTGGTTGGAACCTTTATTCCGCTCTGGATTCTTGTGAGTGTAGTCTTTGTTCACTTTACAGTAAAAAACAAATAAATAAACAAACAGTTTTGAAACCTTTGGTTTTCATTCTTTTCCTGCTTTGTGCTTCAACTTTCACGGTTGCTAAGCAACAGAGCCTACAGCGGTAAAACCCGCCGAAGGGTGGACCTGTTCGAATTCACAGCTAAAATACTTCCGGTCTCCTTAATTTCACGGAAAAAAAGCTTGGCCCTGTTGGTAACTTCCTGTTTCAAAATTATCATTTTTATGTAAATGTAATGTCTTGCCAATGAAAACGTGAAATATTATCTATAATATCAAACATTTTGATTTCATGGATTGTTGTTTTGAGTGTTAGTTTGGGTTTTAAAAAGAAAAATGAACGGATCATACCATTATGACTGTGAAGGGTTTTCCACGCTCTCCGTCGCGCACATGCTGTTGGATTCCATGGGAGAAGGTATGAAGTTTTGTTTCTGTGTTCAATAAGTCTATTTTAAGCATGATAAGTGACAGTTTGATTATTGTTCTTATAAAATAATATGTTTAGGAGCATTTGAACTTTGTTAAGCAGCTAAATAACAGTGGTGTTAGGAGTTATTTAGCTGCTCTTACATGAAAGTTTGCTAATGAAAAATGCTACATTCATGTGCTGAGAATAGTATGGTTCATGGTTAAACAGGCGCTGTGGAACACTGGGACAAGAAAAAGCCTGTTGATATTTCATTATTCTTGGTGTGGGATTATTGTGTTTATTTATTTTTTCTTATTCATGTGCTGTTTAAGAGTATTATGATCCTGTTTGGGCGCAGTTATCAATAATCGCTCCAATCATTTCTAGTTTGTAAGGTAGATGTATTATTTTACACAAGTTGTGCTCTTTCTGTTGGATTCCATGGGAGAAGGCGCAGTGGAACACTGTGACAAGAAAAAGCCTGTTGATTAATTCAATTCAATTCAGTTTATTTCTATAGCGCCAATTCACAACACATGT